CTGCATTTTTACAAATGAGGTTATTCAGACTCAAAGAGGTTAAACAATTTTCTGAAGTTTACGCAGGAGATTGGAATAAGAATCCAGATCTAAGGATTCCCACTATTCCATGGAAATGTTCTGTCTTTCTACTCAGAGAAGATGCATTCTCTAATGCTTAAGGAATAATCATGTTCCAAAAGAAAAGAACGTTTTCAGAGACTACAATAACTTCTCCAAACTGCGGAGCATGCTGGTAAATGAACACTGCACAGCCAAGAGCACCGCTGGCCTCCGCGAGTCCTTGCGGCAAGTCTTGTTTCTTGTTCAGGACACTGGGTTAAACAAGCCCTTCCAGGGTCACCTCATCCGGATAGATTGTGCCTGCCGAGGCTGCCCACGGAGGGCTATGAGTGGACTGAGATCCGGGGCCCTCTGCTCTGAAGGCCGGGGGCAGGGCACCGGGCTTGGGCTGACCCGCCTGGAGGCAGAGGGGCTCTTTCTCCTTGGTGGGCACAGGAGCTTCACCTTACTATTGAAAAAAGAAAAAAAAAAAAAGAGCTAACACAACATAGATATTTTTCAAAAAGATTTCCTCAGACCCATGTGCTTTGTTTTTGGCTTTATAATGTCTCTATAAAACTTTACTATTTTTGCCAAGAACATACAATGGAGAAAAGAAAGTCTCTTCAACAAATGGTGTTGGGAAAACTGGATAGCCACATGCAAAAAAATGAAAGTAGACCCTTACCTTACGCCACACACAAAAATTAACTCCAAATGGATTAAAGACTTGAATGTAAGACCTGAAACTATGAAACTTCTAGAAGAAAACATAGGCAGTACGCTCTTTGACATGGGTCCTGGCAACATATTTTCAAGCACCATGTCTGACCAGGCAAGAGAAACAATAGAAAAAATAAACAAATGGGACTACATCAAACTAAAAAGCTTCTGCACAGCAAAGGAAACCATCTACAAAACGAAAAGACAACCTAACAATTGGGAGAAGATATTTGCAAACCATACATCTGATAAGGGCTTAATCTCCAAAACATATAAAGAACTCATGCATCTCAACAACAAAAAAACTAACAACCCAATTAAAAAATGGGCAAAAGACCTGAACAGACATTTTGCCAAAGAAGATATACAGATGGCCAATAGGCACATGAAAAGATGTTCAACGTCATTAACTATCAGGGAAATTCAAATCAAAACTACAATGAGATATCACCTCATGCCCGTCTGAATGGCTATAATTAACAAGACAGGAAACAACAAGTGTCAGAGAGGATGTGGAGAGAAGGGAACTCTCATACACTGCTGGTGGGAGTGCAAACTGGTACAGCCACTGTGGAAAACAGTATGGAGACTCCTCAGAAAATCAAGGATAGAACTACCATATGATCCAGCTATTCCACTGCTGGGTATTTATCCAAAGAACTTGAAAACACAAGTGCATAAAGATACATGCACCCCTGTGTTCATTGCAGCGTTATTCACAATAGCAAAGACTTGGAAGCAACCTAAGTGCCCATCAAGGGATGAATGGATAAAGACGATGTGGTATATATACACAATGGAATACCACTCAGCCATAAGAAACGATGAAATCCAGCCATTTGTGACAACATGGATGGACATTGAGGGTATTAGGCAGAGTGAAATAAGTCAGAGGGAGAAGGTCAAATACTGCATGATTTCCTTAATTAAGTAGTAGATAATAACAACAATAAACACACACATAGAGACAGAGATTGGATTGGTGGTTACCAGAGGGGAAGGGGGGAGGGAGGAGGGCAAAAGGGATAACTCGGCACATGTGTGGTGATGGGTTGTAATTAGTATTTGGGTGGTGAACATGATGTAATCTATGCAGAAATAGAAGTATAATGATGTACACCTGAAATTTATACAATGTTATAAACCAGTGTTACTGCAATAAACAAAAAGTTAAAAAAAAAAAACTTTACTATTTTATCTTTAATGTAGTTTTTTTTAAAAAATGTTTTACCTTCCTGCCAAGATTATAAGTACGCTCAGGACAGAAAGCACACCTTGCCCTCATCCTGCCACCCCTCCTGCCACCCCTCATACAATCGTGGAACAAATGGAACAGATGATCACCATGAGTCTTTGATAAACTGTTGGTGAATAAATGATTTTACAACTCTCTCTCTAGTGTTAAGGTTGTTGTGAACTCTGCTTTTCCTACCATTCTACATAGATCTTTTTTAATGCTTTTCAGGTTGAACACTGTAGTTTATCCTCATTTCCATTAAAAAGCATTAAAGTGTTGCAGAGGCTTTTTTCCTAACATTATTAGAGATTTTAATGTATCCTCGGCGGGTAGTTCACCAGTAATGGGAATCTAGATGATATTCAAATATTTTTTAAATTTATTTAGAAAAATGTTTGTAATTCTTAGAAAGTTTGATTATGTATACTTTTAAATTTCTACAGATTTTCTTCAAAATGAGTTTCCTCTAAGTAATAATACAGGTGTTCCTCACTTAATGCTATTAACCTAGCAGAATGCTGCTAGTTTAATTTATTTTCTTCAGATTTCTATTAAAAATCAGATGTATATTTCCATGGGGGAAGACTTGGCTTAAACATAAGCTCTTCCTTTCTTCCAAAAGGAAGAAAAAAAATAAAAAAGAGCAGCCAAGACATTTGCCCAAGGGCAAAAACATGACACCCGTAGACAAACAACCTCCGTCTTACAGAGGCACGACAGGAGGGTAAACCGACTTTTGTAAAGAGGCATTTTGAGGACACAAGAAGTATAAGTCAATGGCCTAAAGAGACAGGGAAGGAGAATTGATTGAGTGCAGCCCTGCTCTGTCACCCCTTGGCCAGGCACCTTATAGCTAAATAGGTACCAAACAAATGTGCTATTTTTTAGAGACCAACCAGTGTCTCTGAAGTTAAGGTTTCTTTTGCTGACACACACTGATCTGGAAAGGTCGCCTACTCATCTTCTCCTAAAATAGTGCAGAAGCCTGTGAAGACACATGTTGGTCAGCTCTTGATCTAGGGAGCATATGGACACATTTCCATGGAGGCACTCTAGGCATCTTCTCTGGATTATAAGATACACTAATGTTCATCAGTTAGACGGTTTATTTACAGGGCTGACCTGAGACAATGGGGAAGTGGAGGCCTCTATTTTATCTTTAATGTAGTTTTTTTTAAAAAATGTTTTACCTTCCTGCCAAGATTATAAGTACGCTCAGGACAGAAAGCACACCTTGCCTTTATGTCCCTTCTTTCAGGTATGTCCCTTCTTTCTCTCTCCCTAGCGAATTGCTAGAATGTTTCAGAACACACGCACACAAATGTGCACATGCACAAAGACTATTTTTGGTTTCAGATGCTATTTTTGCCAAAGAATTGAAACTGAGTCCTTTTTCACGATCAACTGTATGCCATCTTAATGATATGTGTTTCATGTTGATCCAGGAGTTCTTACAAAATCTGCAGCATAGAAACTATTTTCATATTCTCTTTTATAATAAATTATTTGAGTGACGTATACTTAAGTATTTCCCCAAAGTGCTGTTTTTATAATTGCTGGATTGCTTCCTATATGTTATGTAATTTAGGTTCTAGTGCGTATCTGCAGTTTGTTTATATTATAACGAGCATTGGTTTGCTGTCCTTTGATTTGAACTATATAAAGTTTATTCATTTTTATGACATACATTTATCTCATTAGAAATTCTTAGAGCCGGCCCTGATGGCCTAGTGGTTAAAGTTCGGTGCTCACCGCTTCAGCCGGCCAGGTTCACTTCCCAATCTCGGAACCACATCACCTGTCTGTCAGTTGCTGTGCTGTGGTGGTGGCTCACATAGAAGAACTAGAACAACTTACAACTAGGATAAACAACCATGCACTGGGGCTTTGGGGAGGAAAAAAAAAAAGAGGAAGATTGGCAACAGATGTTAGCTCAGGGTGAATCTTCCCCTGGAAGAAAAAAAAAAAGAGGGCTGGCCTGGTGGCGTAGTGGTTAAGTTCTGGTGCTCCGCTGAGGGGTTCTCGGGTTTGGATCCCGGGCACAGACCTACACACTGCTCATCAAGCCATGCTGTGGCAGCATCCCACCTACAAAATAGAGGAAGATTGGCACAGGTGTTAGCTCACCAGCAATCTTTCTCAAGCAAAAAGAGGAAGGTTGGCAATGGATGTTAGCTCAGGGCCAATCTTCCTCACCAGATAAGTAAATAGAAGAGGTTTATTTAAGGAAAAACAATTCTTAGAGCAGAGACAAGGAGATTACAAAGGGTTTTTCAAGTTTAGTTTGTAATTTAAATTTCATTTTTAATGAAGTTCATATCTTTGGGTTTGAGACTTTCTTAACAGACAAAATCATCTTGTTTGTATATTTGATATTTTTATTAAGATAAAGAATAAACCTTAAGATAAAGTTCTGATCTTATTTAAAGTACACATTTTAAAACCTTGTGAATTCCAGAATTCTGTTTAGATTTTGCATGATATAATCAGTTAATGTTTCCATAAGTAAGTTGACAACTTGATTTCCCAGAAGACTTAATTTCTCCCACTCCCTGCTCAGTCCTCTCTGTCATGCACTCATGCACGCACATGCGCACAAACACAAATAGTGCTATATTTGAGAAAATTGAGGTTTATAATTTAAATTCCATCTTCATGTTGTATTTATGCTTCTGTGTTTATGCACTTTGTGTTTAAATGTAGACTTGATAATATTGAGTTTCTCTAAGAATGGACACTTTTCTGGTGTTGTGATATAATGGCCTGTGTTCTTTATCCAGGTCACACACCTCCATTCCTTTCTGATTATGTAAAAAGTACAGCTCTAGGTGCTTTTTCTGCCACCGGGAAAAACCTGTCCTTAGAGCCAAGAGGCTTGTTTTGTGAATGATGTATGATTGTGCATGATCAAATCACATAGGTCTGGAAGTTAGAGATAAATGTGCTACTCCTGATGATTTCATAACAGATGCTTCTCTTGTCTTTTTTTTTTTGGCAGTTACCCAGCTGTGTGTGAATTCTTGCAGCACAATAACTTGTTATCTATCCTCCGAGCCCATGAAGCCCAGGATGCAGGGTGAGCAGTTTTGTGGGTTATGAAAACTGTGCATTGCCCCTTGGTCACAGCCCCTCACTCTGCTTAGGCTGTCAAGCTTCCCTTTTGCCAGGCTCTATCCCAGAGGGAATTAGATCTTAAAGTTGTCTCCTGATGACACAGATCTGGCAGGGTCCTGGGGAATCAGTGGCTGCAGATGTACTAGAAAGTCCCTGTAAGTTGTTCCATTTTCAGCTTGAACAGGTAAATTTTCAGCTGGCTTTCTTAAGCACTGTAAGGGCACCTTCTCTTATTTCTTTAATTCTTCCTCTTATCAACGTTCATAAGTGAGTAATTACCAGCTACTTTTCAGTCTTGGTTGGCAACGTGAATGAGAATTACACATAAATATTTAACACATATTGCAGGTTGTACTCTTGTTTAAAGAATATCGTTCCTGATCCCTGTAAAGTTTTAAAGGGCAAAAACAGACATTTAAATGATGGGGAAAATCTTATGTTCTAATAAACAAATGCATAGCATGGTTTTTTAATATCTGGTAAATTTTGAAAACATAGACCAATTTTAAGGGTTTAGAAAACCCTAAGACACATCAGATATTCTCTTTAATGGTGCGTTAAATCTGCGTTAGGGTGAAGTAGGCATAAATAATTTTAAGATTTGAAGTTCAATGACTTTCCCAGTAGGCTCCACCTAAAGACATTGTTTGCCTTCAAATGTTTAAACTCATTTCTTTATATTTTGGATTTTCTAAAAAGGAGGAGCACTTCCTTTTATAACCTGTGTGCTGAAGTTGGGACTATAGATGCCTGTGTTCTGAAATGGGCCTCTGTCTGTAGTGCCCCTGAATCAAGGCAGGTCCTGAGTTCCTTACAGAATTAGCTTTTTCCAAGCAGTCAGTCAGTGCGTCTGAACTGACCCAGTGTTATGTGCTCAGTGATGTTGCCGCTGATGTTTGAAGTAACCTGTTGATACACCCAACTAGTCAGGTCCTGGAATCATTGTTTTCACTCTTCAGGGCAGTGGTGTCCCCATGTTTTTTTGACTGACTGTTCCAACTGAACATTTTAGGCAGATTTATCTTAATTCCACTACAGACCTGAAATCATCTGCTTATTTGAAAATATGTTAAGTGCATCAATTAAAATCAACAAGTATTTTTGTCTAAAATGAGCAGTTGCTTGATTATCGGGGAAAGTTGAGATTATGTCATCCCATTTCTTTGTTTCTCTTTGTTGTCAAGCAGGCATAGCCAGCCAGAATTTATAAAGTCAAGGTGCTAGGATTAAGAGTATTAATGTCTTTTGCATTCTGATTTTTCCACCAACAAAGCCCAGTCCCATAAGCAGAGTAAACACTTATAGAACATTTCAAAAGGTTTTTAAGGGGATAGTTTCTTGTGAGAAAGTGGTATCAAAATATTTATAAAATTATAAATTTTAAGGTGTCTATGTGTCCATCTAACGGTACTCTTTGAGGCATCTTTAGAACCCAGCTAAATTAGGTGTGGTTAGCCTGCCAGAAATAACTGACATAGAATGCCCAAGGAATGATAAAATTCTGTTCTGCACTTTATAAGAACGTTTCTTAAATGATATTCCTGAAATCTGTTTCATAGACGTCATGAGATATTTTCACCCTGATAGAAAAGGGCCAGAATTTCCTGTATTTTTTGATTATTTGAGGACTAGAGTCCTGTTTTTATCTTAGTAGGAGAAAAGTCCCTGGGTTGTTGGTTTGTTTCCAAAGACCCGGCAGATGTTCTGTTTCATTACTGATTGATTTAATATTGCCGTGCTGAAACAATAGTCTTTGACCTGCAGACATCAGCAGAGATTGGTACTAGATAAAATTCTAAAGTAGAAACAGTTTCAATTCATAAAACCAATAGATTTAACCAGACATTCTTTGAAAAGCAGATCACTCAGTCTAGGCAAAATGAGTAAATATAACCAGGACAGAACCTTGTGGATACATAGAATAATCAGGTAAAGATTTATATATTACTCTGCTAATTCATTCTTTTTATGTCAAAAATATTGGTCAACTTCTGAAAAACATGGTAGATACAGGATTTCTTTGTGCAAAAAGTAGCCTCTGTCCTCTCTGGGGAACACATGGAAACGAGATATGAGTTTTCACTGCATTCCACCCTCCCCTAGGACTCCTAAACTTAGGAAAGACCTATGTGGAAATTGTACATATAATTGTAGGTTTTCATTGTCACCCTGGAAATGAATTAATGTCTCTGTATAACAGACTTTAGAGAGAAAAAAATTTGTTTAATGTTATGTAATTGGATCCTCTTTGAATGATAAAACTTAACTCATTTAAATTTCCACTTCTAAATCTATAATGTAATATCATCTTTCCTCTACACTAGCCTTGTTTTAACGTGTGTTTATTCTTTTTAGGTATCGCATGTACAGGAAAAGCCAAACAACAGGCTTCCCTTCTCTAATTACGATTTTTTCAGCACCAAATTATTTAGATGTATACAATAACAAAGGTGAGTGTTTTAAATCCTTCTGGCAGTCTTGTGTAATATGTATAATAATTGTTAAGCTGTTTTATTTTGGTTTGGTTTTAATTAAGCTTTTTTTCTTTTTTTCTTTTTTTTTTTTTTGGTGAGGAAGATTGGCCCTGAGCTAACACCTGTTGCCAATCCTCCTCTTTTTGCCTGGGCTAACATCGATGCCCATCTTCTTCTACTTTATATGTGGATGCCTGCCATAGCGTGGCCTGATAAGTGATGTGTAGGTCCGCGCTCGGGATCCGAACCTGCAAACCCTGGGCCATGGAAGCGGAGCGTGCGAACTTAACCACTATGCCACTGGGCTGGCCCCTAATTAAGCGTTTTTAACCATTCTTTTTCCACTTACTTTTTCATTTATTGTTTGATGCAGATTTTGTGATCATCTTCAGAGTAACAGATTCAGCTTGTCGGAGGTGGACCCAGGCACTGGTATATTTTAGCTGTTCTTCCAGGAGGTTCTCATGTACAGCAGGGTTGACAGCTACTGCTCTGGTAGAGATAGGCTTTAAGAGAAATAATAATTGGAAGTAATCCAAAATCATGCTCCTTAAGAGGGTTGTGGATTTAAATAAGAATAGTGCGATCATGCATATAACAGATCAAGAAGAATAAGCAAAAAGAAGCCATGGCTTGAAATTCAAATTCAAGTTGCATCTACTGAGCACCTAGCCTGAGTCAAATCCTGTGTGAGGCAAGTACATATTCATTTATTTTTAAAAAATTGAATTAACCTTCAAGGTAAATCTTATCCCTCCAACCCTTTTAGTATGCAGAGTGAGTCTCTGTGGATAATTGCCTTGCCCAAGGTCACTCAATCAGGTAGTGATGAACTGTGATCAAACCCAGCTCTTCTGGTTCAGAGTCCTGGGCTTTCTTTCTGAAACTCCATACGTGTGTGCCTCAAGACACCAGAAAACAAGAGGGCATCATTTCCTACCTGTGGGGAAGAGAGGAGGAGGGAGGGCCACGTTAACTTCTTTCATCAAGGTCGTCTCTTTATTCAGAAATGACGGGAAGTGTTATGAGTGTGGCAGAATTGGTGATAAAATGTTCAAAAAGCCTTTAACCCTAGTTGGCATTGGTCATTGGATGGTAGGGAGCAAGGGACAGTTGTCCCCACTTTTCTAGTTGCCTCATTCCAGGAAAGAGGTGCTGCCTTTAGTCCTCTGTGGCAAGAAGCATGCAAAGTAAAATAAAACATGTTCTTGGCCTGCCAAGTGCTTGCAGTTGACAAAGTAAGACTTTTAGGTGATTTAATAAAAATATAAGACACAGTGTTATTAAGTAAAACTAAAGAGAGGCAAACACTGAGTACAGTAGACAAGGAGTGATTTTCTAGAATGGTCGTTCTGTGGCCTTGTTTAAGGTGAAATATGATCTGGACATTAAAGAATGGTTTACGTTCGATTGAAAGAGGAAAAAATAAAGTCAAGGCCAGTGTTTTTGAAACTTTTTTATTTTTAAGCAACAAACACTTTTTTTTCCTGACAAAATCTGAATCTTGAAGCTTTTTGTATAAAACCAATAAGAGCTAATTCCCTTTGATTGGATGAGGGTTCCTCATTTTGCATCTGAGAGAGGTCCCCTGTGGCTCCTGCAAGAAATGCAAGAATGTCCCAGCAGGGCATCTTGCGTGTCCTGCCATGATCCTCTTATTTACCAAAAGTATATAAAATATGAACACTTATGTTTTTATTGTTTTGTGGCATTAAAACTTTTTTCTATTATTACCTAGTGTAGGGAGTGCCCAAATAAGTAATTTTTTTGACAGAGACCGATTGCTAAGTAGCATGTACTATGCTTGCAAGGTTTTAAATGAGTAAAAAAGTCAAAACAGTAAAAAAAAAAAAAAGAAAGAAAGAAAGAAAGAAAATTGAGATTTCACTCCATGAAAGCAGACTTGTACTTCAGACCAATAGCTGTTTTTCGTGCATTGCTTCTTTGTCTGTGGTTCTGATTTAACAAGGTACCAACTTAAAAACACAGCAGACATCAGCGCGTGCTGTCTCTGAGGGTCGTAGTTCCTTCACTGGGTCTCTTGCCTTCAGGGTAGATCATAGTCTCTCAGGAAGAGGGTAGAAGCGTTTCATTTTGGGAACATTTTCACAGAAGAAAAAGTTCTCCCGAGAGAAAAAGATGAACTGATAGGAAGAAGAAAGATATAGTCTTCGGTTTGAGCATAATTTCAAAAGACTTTTGTGTGATTCTCTGAAGCACTTTAAAGCTATTATGCTGACACTGCCTACTGTCTGTGCAGGTGGGAGTCAGCTATTCCCTGCTGAAGGCAGGATTACTGTATTTGAATAAAATAAATGTTAATGAGAATTTCAAAAGGCACTGCAATAAAACTGTGTTGCAAGCACCTTCAAAACACAATCAATAGAAAGATAGCAGTGAAGAATCTGTGCGTTAACCATTTGATGCTTAGAAACAGATGACCAGAAAGGCCTCTGGAATTATAAGCTAATAGTTATGGTACCATGTGATTTTTACATCTCCTGTGAATTAAAGCAGCAGTAATAGCTCTCTAGTAAAATGAAAGAATGAGAAAAACAGGCGCATTCTGCCATCTTAAAACCGATAATGGTTGTGTGATCAGCTTTACGTCTAAATGTCTGGTAGCTCTGATTGGTAGTTAGTACTTGCCTGCAATTAGAAGCAGCTTCCAGAAAGTGATGAGGACTGTCCGTGCCCCATCCCTTGGTGTGGCCGACATGAATTCACTCAGTTCTTATCCTTTCCAGTCTGCATGAACACAGGCCAACAACTCACCCATCTCCGTGCTTCTGTTCACTCATTCTGACAGCTCCTGCTGACTCCTGCAAGATGCCAGGGGAAGAGATGTAGATTTGTATCACAGCTCTGCCATTAAACAACTAGCTTATCTAAATTTATTGACATGAGGTGACATCTCTGTAAAATGAGAAAAAAATTTTCTTTTGTGAATAGTAGATGAAATAGCTTTGAAACAAAATTCTGTGCAGTATTGAAAAGCTGTCATCATCATTGAATATTTTCTGTTGCTGTTGTTATGCCCCGTGTCAGTGTGGGGCTTCGCAGAAGCTGTGGGAGAATACCCTTCCTCCTCGGCTTCTTCCTTATAATTTCACTCCCTGGGTCGATCTGCCTTTACGACCGCTCTCTCCACTTCTCTTGGTGAGCCCTTCACCTCAGCCAAATTGTTCTACTCATCGCCGTGAACAACTGTGGCTTTCCTTTTCTCTGCATCATTGCCCACACACTGCTTTCCATCTGGAATACTTGTCTAACTCTTCTCTGCCCATCCAAATGGACTGGACCCACGCCAGGCTGTGTTTCCGTGAAGACTTCTGTTGGTAGTCCTTCTCTGAATGCCTGCAATCCCAATCATTTGCCCTTGAACTTATCATTTCCTTTTTTTTTCTAGTTAGCTTTTCCTATATTTAGGATTTCTGTAACTTCCCAGATTATAATTGGTTTGAAGCAGGCGCTTTTTGATATACATTGTAAAGCCAGAAAGCGTGCCTTATACTTGGTAGGCAGTCAATACGTGCATTGATGGAAGCATTTTCTTTCTGGGGATTAATAGCAAGGCAGTGCCCCCCAGTACCCTGTCAGTATTGACCCACAGAGCTTTATCTCACTTTAAAAGACTGCTCTAACCAATGCTGATACCCTTTCCAAATTGGAGTTAAGCATTTGCTGAGCACTTTGCAAATTTGAATTGTTTTTCTCCTGTGAATCTGTAGCCCTAAGGGAAAAGCTATTTCATAATTACCCAAATTCACCAAAGACAAATGCAGTAATGAAACGTAACTTCTTCTTTTTTTTTTTTTTTTTAAATAATTTGCCACCTGTAAAAGTGACTTCAACCTCATCCACTCACCAATCCACCAAACCTTTATTGAGAACTTAGTATTTACCAGGCACCACGCTAGGTGCTAGGGACATAAAATACACAAGACGGACATGGTCTTTGCCCTAGTGGTGTATAATCTGGTAGTGTGACAGACATTAAATAAATTATTCCACCAATAATTATTTAAATATGTTTGGAAAATACTGCAAAGAAAAGTGGTAGAAAATGAGATTAGAAATTAGTCTATGGTGACAAAAGCTTAACTGACAAAGTTACATTTAAGCAACCTTGGAGTAAAATATCTCAGTATCGAGAAATACAGTGACAGGTGTGAACTCTGCTTTAATCAATTCAATTTGGCTGAAAACTATAATGAATCTTTGGGAAAATGTGTTTTTTTTTTTTTTGTGAGGAAGATCAGCCCTGAGCTAACATCCGTGCTAATCCTCCT